GGTTACTTCGGCCTCACCCGGGTTACTTCGGCCTCACCCGGGTAACGCAAAAATACCACGTGACTGCCAAATCGAACGTATTTGGGGCTGGCCCGAGTAGACCCAGGTTAACTTGGGGAAGCAAATCGAACGCACTATTAGTGCATTCGATTTGCTTCTCCAAGTTAACCTGGGTCTACTCGGGCCAGCCCTAAATACGTTCGATTTGGCAGTCACGTGGTATTTTTGCGTTACCCGGGTGAGGCCGAAGTAACCCGCTAGCCGAGCCGCTCACTTGGGAAAGTATCCCACAACTCATTGCAACAAAATCTTCAAAGTCTTCAAAAATCAAAAATCTTCAAGCAGTGATGCAGCTTGACTGTCGATGACTGCGTGTGTTTGCTCATTCTTAGATTTCATTAATAATAAGATTGCAATTGCTATTATTTTTTTCTTGTCACTGGCATCCATGATGATAATTAACCCCGGGTTAACCCCACAACCGTTCGGTTATCTTCCCTAACCCAGATGCGTTCGATTTCTTACCCTGGTTAACCCAGGTGGCTCTGGGGAAGCAAATCGAACGCACTGACAATGCGCCAGTACACACAGTACATGCGGGCACGGTAGGGGGGTTCGGAGACGGGTGGTTCGAACATTTAATCATCTGTAATTCACTTCCGCGCGCATATATATGCTAATATATTGACTAATCGTGCGTCAATAAACTCAATATTCACAGAGATTATAGCTAAGACATGTGTCTATAGGTATCTAGAATTTTAGAAAATGTAACTCAAATCGTTCGCGAGATATTAGAGTTATTACACTATCCTACGGGCCATAGCCGCGCGTATATATTAGCCTATGAGCGATACCGTGCGTATATTTTTGGTAATTAATTAAACTATTCGTGATTCAATAAACTCAAAATTCACGAGGATTATAGCTAAGACATGTGTTTATATGTATCTATATTTCTAGAAATGTAACTCAATTAGTTCGCGAGATATGAGAGTTAATACACTTTCATGCTGCCTATAGCACAATAGCGTATCCGCGCGGAGGGGGTGGGGTTAACTGGCCTGTACTGCCAATGCGCCAGTACAGGCGGGCGCGGTTCGAACATTTAATCATCTGTAATTCACTTCTAAGGAATATCTACATTGGGCACCCCCTCTAATATTTATAGTACTGCCATATGCTACAGCTGTGCCAAGTTTGATGCTTTTGTCAGCTCTGTAACGATCATGAAGCTAAGGCTACCTGACTACTGAGCCTAATTGTAATCTTGTCCTCAACTCTAGCACTGAATCTAAACCATAATATTAACTGTAACCACGATCTGTTCCCACGTTAGTCGACTTGATCCGTGAGCTAGGTTGCGCCACCTCTGTGTCTGTGCGAGAGCATGAGAGGGGGCGCCACCTGCTTGCATACCTGGCACGCCTACTTGCTGGGCCATCTGCCCAGGTTTCGCTAGCAACTGCTGCTGCAGCTGCGACAACTGCGGTCCCTGCTGCTGCAGCTGCGACAGCGGCGGCGCCGCCATTTCTCCCGCCTGTGACGTCATCATCCCCACCTGTGACGTCATCATTCCCGTCTGTGACGTCATCATGCCGGCCTGTGACGTCATCATCGGCGCCTGCGACGTCATCATGCCTGTTTGCGACAACGTCATGTCCTGATTCGCCTGCGACATGATCGCGCCGGCCTGCTGCGCCGGCATCATCGTCAGCTGCGACTGCAGCAGGTTCTGCTGTGACGTCATCAGATGCTGCTGCTGCTGCTGCTGCTGCTGCTGCTGCAACGTCATGGCGCTTTGCGGCAGCATCATGCCGCCCGGCGTGGCCACCATTCCGGGCTGTGATGTCATCATTCCGGACTGTGATGTCATCATTCCGGGCTGTGATGTCATCATACCGGGCTGTGATGTCATCATACCGGACTGTGATGTCATCATACCGGACTGTGATGTCATCATACCGGGCTGTGATGTCATCATACCGGGCTGTGATGTCATCATACCGGACTGTGATGTCATCATACCGGACTGTGATGTCATCATACCGGGCTGTGATGTCATC